ATCAACCTTTAATGACCACCAACGGTCATGCCTTCCCATCGATGGTATACCCTTACCATCGCTGGGTTCCCATCGATGGGATAGGTTTCCCATCGCTGGGCAAGGTCGTTCTGCCTTGTGTTAATATTGCACCAAGGCTTTAACAGCGATGGGTAGAACTCCCCATCGCTGTTTGGCATGGTTCTGGAAACTGGTTTGGCTGAGGGGCCGCTTACCCATCGATGGGAAGATCTTCCCATCGCTGGGTGGGTGGTTAGTCAAGAACCCATGGTTTTTGCCTTAACCACGGCCTAGCCAACCGATGCGAAACCCGACCGAAAAATTCAAAGTTCTCCAAAATAAAAAACCAAGTGTTTAAAACACTTATTTGATGTATTTGGCTAAGAAATCAAGTAAGAGACTTTAAAAACCACGTCATTTGAGTGAAAACCACGGCTAGCCAAGTTTATGCCGTTTTGAATGATTTTTGTCAAACGACCAAAAGCGAAAGATGGTTTTCAAGGTGTTTTTGTTGGAGAACCGTTTAAACATGCCAAAGAGTGAAAACCAATCATAAAAAGTTGAAATCCACTTGGTTGGTTCGGACGCCAAAAACCATAGCCGATAACCGAGAGCCGAACGCCGGTTTCTGAAACCCGAACGCTGGATGGCTTGGTTTTTGGTTTGGGCGAACACCAAGTGTTTTTAACGACTTAAACAAGTTTGGAAAACATTTTTATAATGTAAGAAATGCAGTGAAAGGTTTTAGCCTAAGGAGCCAATGCGTGAGGGTTGGGTCGGTCTTGATTACAATTATGACCGACTCAACAATACTAAAGACTGCGGTCTTCGTTCTTGGTCTCTTTTAGCTCTTGTTCTTTATCTTCGTTCCTCGCCTTGTATATTCAATGTTTGTCTTGATCACGGCGGTTTGGCATTATCAAAACCTGTTAAAAAAAACGAACACGGCTTTAGTACGAAAACGTGACATGCCCGTGTTTCAACACTAAAGACTACGGTCTTCGTTCTTGGTCTCTTTTAGCTCTGGTTCTCTTGCTTTCTTCTTATATCTATTTCTCGCCTTGTATATTCAACAACTTGTCTCGTTCACGGCGGTTTGGCTTTATCAAAACCTGTCATAAAAACGAACACGGCTTTAGTACGAAAACACGATAAACCCGTGTTTCACTTGGACTTCAATCAAAGTTTGGGGAGGAGGAGGATAACACAATTTCAGAATGTATGGTAGACGCAGGTTCTAGTTTACTTCTTGATGCTGTAGAGACTCCTCTGAACGCAGAGGTCATTAGGAAAGATGCACAACCTACTTTTCTTTACAAAGTAGATAGGGGTAAGCAGTTAGATCCTGCCCAAGGCCTAGAAGACAACCACCAACCCTATACAATCCTCTACCCCCCGCTGCCAAGATTAAATCTTTCTCCTTTTGCCAACGAATTCATTCTGACTATGCCCAATTCCTTTGCAGCACTTTTAAACCAAGGAGATGCCACTGAAACATCATTGGATCCACTCTCTTCAGATGACCCTTTGGCAAATATAGATGGAAGGAATATGGCACTCTCCAACAATGCCATTGAGGATTTGCCACAAGAAAGAGATGAGCCTATCCTTTACACACACTCGGATGGAGAGGACAAAGCCTTTATAGATTATAAACTTAAACCCCTCCAAATCGACATTTTTAGGTGCTCTAAGACACCATTATATCTGGGAAGGGTGTTGAAAGGTCGGAAAACTTTCTCTCCATCTCAAATGGTCACAAGAAGTAAAGCTAGGCTGCTTACTAAAGGTAGGAAAAATAATCCTTTGGGCTTGTTAGATGAATCTGATGGCTCAGCCAATTCCTTCGCTAATGAGATTATTGAAGCCTTCAAACTAAGTTGTCCGGTTCTTAAGGAGACTGCTCCTAAAACCCCCCATCATCCCATTACCCGAAGCAAGAAAAGGAAAGCAATAAAGAAGGCTAAGCTTGCTAAGGTAGTTGATCAGAACGGGGATGATTTTCAAGATGGCTTCCTCTAATCTTTTATTCTCCAATATTGGGTTCTTTCATCCAATAGTCTCATCTTGTGTTTATAAAGCATTCTATTACATAGAGGTCTTTAGGATCTCAACGGCATGGTCCCTGGTTTCTCTAAGACAAAAGCACATGTCATGAAGCAGCATATTTCTTCACAGCTACTGGTGGATGATATTGTACAAGGATCCATGGTCCCTTACTCTTTCTATTTGATTCCAGGCTGCTCTCTTGGTTGAGGATATTCAGCTTTCTAATCTATGGTGGTCTAATATCTCCTGGTTGGGACACATTTGATTTATATTTTGTGCTAGGAAATTATTTTCTTTGATACATAGAGGAATTTGGAACTTTGGATTTGCTTTCGATCCAAGGGCAGGCTGCCAGGCTACATATTGACGCAGCTGGTCCTTTGTCACACTGTGCTTGGCTTGGAAGCATATTCTGTGCTGCTGGACATTTTAGGCCAATAATGGCGTATTTGTGGACTCCTACACCATACTCCTGATGCTGCTCCAAGACGAAGCAGCCAAACAATCTCGTTGTTTAGTAGTGATTGGATTTTCTCTATAATCTTAGTGGCTTGTGTAGTGAACTTATATCTTTGGCCTTTTGTGTTTTGGTTTTTATTTCTATGTTTTTGGACTTCTGGCTACATTGTAGGGGTCTCGGCCAACCCCTATGTACTTTTCTTTTATTTCTAATAATAATATTATATTTATATTTATATATATATATATATATATTGATGGCCGTTTCTCTCTCTTCCTTTCTGGTCACCGGAAAAGGGAAATCACCAGGGAAGATACAGAGCCGTACACACCCCTTCCGGCCTACCCTGTTCGCCGACCTCCTCAAAATTGGCCACGACAATCTTCCAGGCAATTTACACGGGATCTATAATGGGGTTCCCTCTATATCTTTCTCTCACGATGAGGAACAGGTGCTGGCTAAACCCCTTTCTTTCAGCCTTGTGGGTCGTTGCAGCTCCAGAGCTAACATCCAAGAATTGGAAGACTTCCTCGTCAGGGGGGGTTATAGCGAGTTCAAATTGCGCAGAATCAGCAACCGTGATATACTCTTCATTTTCAAACGATGGGAGACTATCTCCGATGGTTCTCTCGCAGGCGTTGGTCCATTAAAGGGCTCATCATCTCCATCTCCAAATGGACACCATCCTACTCGCCAGCCAAGGAATTTCCAATCTTTCCGGTCTGGGTTAAACTTAACCTGTTCCCTGCTCACCTAAACGACCACGCAGCATTATACCAGGTTGCTTCACTTCTTGGTAAGCCTATTAATGTGGATTCCAACACTTCCATTGGAGTCTATCCGTCTAAGCCTAGATTTTGTGTTGAAAGAGATCTTTCTCTACCATTTCCTGACCGAATTCACATCCGTCTTGGGAGCAAAGACATTTGGATTCCTTGTGGGTTTGAAAACCCCCCAACTTACTGCTCTTGTTGCGCTATATTTGGTCACACCACTTCAGCTTGCCGGAAAAGAAGTGGTCTGAACCTCACCGGAGTTGCTCCATTTAGTGAGGTGGGGCACTTTGGAGCGGGGAAATCTAGGGATCTTTCAGTTTGGAAAGAGGTGAGAGGAACACGACACCAAGGAAAGAAACTGAAACAGGCTGTGGGGACCAACTCTTGGTTGCAGGATTCAGACACTACTCGGTCGGCCATAAACCTCTTACCTAACACGGCCATTAACCTCTTACCAAACACATCCCTCCAAACTCCTTCTGCTCCCATTTCTTCTTTTGGTGGCCCATCCACTTTCCCTCTATCCCTCCTTGCAGACACCCAACCAAACCCATCTCAAACCCCTCCCACAAAGCCCCCCTTTCAACCCCTCGAACCCTCCACCCTCCCAAACCCTTCCCTAAACCCTCCCCCCTGCAACTCCCTCCTGTTGCCTACCATTGAGGATATTCCTGAAGATGAGGCTACTTCTAGTGGACCACCCTCCCCCTACCCCTCCCCCC